GCCCGCCCACCCGTTGGAAGCTCCACTGTTCTCCAAGCGCAGCTGGGATGGGAGGCTGATGTAGAGGCCTCAAACCCACTTCTCCACTTCACTGCACCTGGAAGCCTGGGGGGTCCCAAACAGTCTGGGCTTTGGGCAGAGTACGCTGAGCACTCACTGCAGGCTATGGTGCCTCTGGAACCTGCCATCCTCCCCTGCTTGCTGAGATATCCACAGTCCTCCAGACACATGGGGAGGCTGATCAGGCGCCCCAAATCCGCCCAGCACACCGATGGCGAGGTGCGGGAGTCCCAAACAGGCTGGGCCCACATGTTTATATATGAAATGTGTGGAAGAGTGTTTTCCTCGTGTGGTCCCTTGGAGCAGCTCAGCATGTAAATCCTTGTGCTCTGCCCCAAACATACTAGATCAGCAACTCTGGAGATGAGATCTGGCAACTGGGTGATTCTGATTCAATACTTAAGTTTAAGAGCCACTGGCAGAGAATATTACAAATGAAATCTTTTTATTTTGCAGGCTAGGAGTCACAGGTAGAGAGCAAAAACCTTGAAGTAGTCTGGTATTTGACACACTGCTGATTTAATTAAATGCTTAAAGAAAGTAGTATACTGTTGCAGATTGAATAATCTCCTAGATCCTCTCTTCTGTCTTCTTAGTTTAGAAATTTTAGAAAACCAAAGTCTCCAGGAGACTTACTGTACCTTAAGAACTTAGAGAGTGAGCCAAGCATGGTAGTGCATTCCTAAACTCAGTTTAGGTAGTGTAACCTAAACTACTATGGAGGCCGAGGCAGGAGGAATGCAGCCTTGAGGTCAGCCTAGGCAACCTTAGCAAGAACATGTCTCAAAAAAATAAACAAGTCTAGGGGTATATATTTCAGCATGAGGACTTGGATTCAAGGCCTAGAATCTCAAAGGTTAAAAAAAGTTTTGATAGCACAGGTGTATGAATTTCAACAACCCTCTGTCAATTTCCCAGCATCCAAAAGCTTAGTTGCCCAAGACTATCAGAGGTAGTATATGGAGTGCTTGGTCCTCTCCTGTGTCCTTGCACATGCTGTCTTTCTGCTGGAGCTCCCTGTATCCACTTGGTCACCTGCATCCTTCTACTCATCATTCAAGTCTCAATGCCAGTATCATTTGCTCTGTGAATTCTTCACCTGGGTGAAGTGCTTAGATATTATATTCCTCAGCACAGAGTACACATTCCTGTATTATTTAGCTCATTCCACAGTGTTGCAATTTATCCATCTGTCTTTCCTCTAGAGCCCAAATTCTCTGAGGGAAAGCATAGCTTCTTTTAATCAGTGCCTGCTGTACTGTCTGATAGACAGAAAGTACTGAGTCAAAATGCTGCAAGAGTATGCAATGCTTTCTTTCCTACTCTCTCTCTTTCTCTAGGTATTATTCTAAGCTTGCTGAACACAGAAGAGTTAGTTGCTTACACTAAGGTCCTTTGTCCCACAATAGGATCACACATATTACTTAGAGAAAGAAGAGCATTCTTTTTTTTTTTTTTTTTTTTGTCTTTTTCCTTTTTATCGGTACCGGGGATCAAACTCACAACTGCCTGCTTGCAAGGCAGGCGCTTATGCCGCTGAGCTAAATCCCCAGCCTCCGAGGAGCATTCTTTTACATGATTATAAGATAATGATCAAAGTCAAGGAATGCAACAAGAATATAGAATTACTATAATGGTCAGTTCCTATTAAAATTTTACTTATTATCTCACTTAATGTCCTTTATAACATTTTCCAATTTTCCAATAATTGCCTTTGTCACTTCTCTTTATACTCCTTTAATCTGAATAATTTCTTTAGCTTTTTTTGGTTTTTTATAACATTAATATTTTTAAGGAGCAGGGCTAGTTGTTTTTAGACTGCCCTTGACTTGGGGTTTATAATTATTTTATCATTATTTGACTTAGATCATAGATTTGGGGAAGGAATAATACATAACAGATGTGGACTTCTCTTATGCATAACACTAGAAGGTACATGATGTTGCTTTACCCATTACTATTGATTTTTGGTGTAGTGATATTTACCAACTTTCTTTATGGGAAAGGTGTCTAACTTTTCTCATTGCTGAGACAAAATACCTGACTCCCAAAGTAAATTGGCTTATAGTCTAGAGAGGTTTCAGTCCATAGTCTGCTGGCTCCAAGGCAGGGTGGCACAGCAGAAGGGCGTCATGGAAGAGAAACAGTTCATGGCAAAGCAGGGTAGGCAGAAGACAGCAAGCAGTGAAGTAGCAACCAGCAAGCGACAGCGACAACAGTAGCTTCTTTCTGCCCTTTTTATGTTCTATCCAGGCTCCCAGGCTCGGGTGGGCGCCAGACAGTTCAGTGGACTGATTGAGTAATCACACCTGGGCGTGACTGTGGCTGCAAAGCCGGTAGAAACCCTCACTCTCCCATCATGCCTTGCTCACTTGCCTACCAGCCCAAGAGCCTCAACCGCTCAGCATAGCTCCAGTGCAGTGTTGTGGGTAGGCAGTGCTTTACAGGCCCAGCAGGCCCACAGCAGAGCTCCCGCCACAGCATGTGGAAGGCAGGGCTGACCAGGTCTCCGTCCTGCTACACGCCCATTGCGGCCCAGGGTGCGCAGACACCAGCTCTGCGGCGCAGGCCCTGGAGAGCCGACCACCACACCTGTCCAACCCGTTGTGCCAATCCCAGTCTGGCCCTGTGGCCTCGGGACGCTCTCTGTGCCACAGCGCCCCTTCTGTCTCCACAGTGCGTGGTGAGCTTGAGGTTGCAGCCTCTTCCAACAGCTTGGGCAGTGATAGTTCAAGGTGATTTGGTCCTGTGATGCAGTAAAAATTTTTTCAGCTGAGAAAGTGGAAGTAGCCGCTTGTGGCTCAGTTAAGGCAATCAGAAATGGAAGTCGCAGTGAAACACTCCTCTGGTGGGGAAAGGTCTTTTTTGACCTCACAGCTCCTTCCTTATATGCTTGAGCAAGCCAGAGGGTTTAAGCTCCATGGGGCAGGGAGCTGTTGTTCCACCACCCTTTTTCTGTTGAAGACTTAGTTTTAAAATAGCCCTCTGAGCCGAATCCTCTGTGGTCATCTCAACAAGCGCACAATCATCGAGGCACTCCCGTTACCTGGCCCACAAAAAAGTACACACTGGAAAGAGTACTATACAGCTGTTGCTCCAGTGAGCCTACTTTTGTTCCATGTTTTACACCTGATGAAATCAGTGTGGATGACATCAGCCCATCTCTCTCACCTATGCTTCTCTTGAGCCTCTTTTGCTCTTTTGATCTTGTGACCCTGCTTTACCTGTGCATGTACTCGGAGGTGTCCTCTCACCTGCTATGTGATGAGTTTCTGTGTCCCACCGTTCTCTGTTTAGGCACCAAAATGCCACCTTCAGAGCAGCTCTTTAACTTCCCTGGGGAGGAGTGGATGGTGGAAAATGAAGAAATGAAGACAAGAGTCAGAAAACAAAAAGTTGAGGTCAGGTAGAGCCCTCTCTCCTAACGGGAGAAAAGAAGAAAGAACTGCCCAAGGACTGCAGGGCATCAGCTTGTTTGCTTGGATTGCCTCAGGTTCTCCGTGCTCTAACGGCTGGCCTTATTTTAGCCCCACATTTGTGACTGATCTCCAGCTTACGCTGCTCCCTACAGAGGTTGATGCTGACATGGAGGATCTGAGAAATCCAATTATCTAATATCTGATTACTGGAGAAACACATCCTTTGAGGAAATCATTGCAACATAATTATCAATATAGTAGGTTTTGAAAAGCAGCACTAAGCTCTTTAGAATCATCACATCAAATGAAGAAATACTTTGAAGGAAACAAAGGGGCACTGCAGTACCCAGTGCTGATTCCAGAGTGTTATGATCTGAAATCCAGCAATATTATTAATCTTTGTTCAGAAGGATTTTAATCTAATAAGTTTAGTTAGGTCTCAACATAAATGAAGATATGGATAAATGCATACATGTCTAAGTGTATAGGATTGGTAGCCATATTACATAGTTTTTGTTAGATACTTAAACAGAACAGTTTCAGTCTCCCTGGTTGAATTCCCATTTATATGTTCCATTTTTGTATCTTGAACAACTATTTGTGGGGGGACAATATGTATACATCAACTAGTGATTTACTACTGTTTTTTTCTTTTCTTTGAAAGTATGTACTATTTCTGCCCATTTTCTATTGTTTTAATCTTTCTTTAAATAAAAAAAAATCATCACATCAACCCTGAAGACTGAAAAGGCTTTTTCAAGTCTAAAGAGCAAATAGCCATGCTAAGCCCAGAATTAGGGCTTGTGGGTTTTCCTCTGAAGCCAATACTGTAGTTCTCCAGGACTTTCTTTTTTTTTTTTTTTTCAGGGGCAAGGGGATTTAAATAATGAAACTAATGTCATCTCACATCCGTGAATCATTCTTCAGGAGTAAATTGAGCATGAACAGTGGAAGTGTACCTAGGGAGACAGGATGGCTGTACTTACCACCTTCTGGAAAGAGGAGTTCAATTGTCAGTGTCTGTTGTTTCTGGGCATATGATGATCGTTTCTGTACTGTATTCAATTTAAAGGGCCCATGATTGAAATGCAAAGTGGACACTGTAGCGATTCCTCCTTGAATTCTTTGGCATAGGTAAACAGTGTGCTTTGCCAGGTGTGGTGGTCTCTGGCTATAATCCCAGCTACTTTGGAGAGTGAGGCAGCTGGACAACTCAGTGAGAATCTGTCTTTAAAAAAAGGTTGGGGATTCAGCTTGAGGATAGAGTGTGTGCCTTGAATGCATGAGGCCCTGATTGCAACATCCAGGACTGCAAATAAACAAAACTAGCCAGAAAAATCCCCCAAAGGTACATTAATGTTTGCAAAAATGTCTTACTGTTTCTGCTATGTGAAATTGCTTTCCCCAAATGCATTGAGCATGTCCCTCAGCATTAAATCAAGATTTGTAATTCCATTCTCTGTAGCATGTAATAGTGGGGTTTGGACACAAATGGTGCTTTTTTGAAGATCTAATCGGGAGGTGAAGGAACTTAGGACTGAATTCACAGTTTTATACCAGGGTGAATTTCTCACAAGTCTGCATTTGACATAAAGTAGATCCAGGAGTTGAAGGACAGTCTGGACTTGAAGGTTTTCACTGATGGGTTTGAAACAGACATGTGAGGCCCAGCGAGGCATGAGGCCTGGAGTCAGGTTACCTGGTACAGCTTGGTCTTGGTGGGTCATGTCTGGGGATCCCTGCATATTACTTTATCTTTCTTTCACTCAATTTCTGTATTTCCATTAGTGAAAGGAACAAAATAAGACCTACTCTGCTGGCTTCTCACAGGTTTCAGGTGAGAAATATGGAGATATTGTCAGAAGAAAGAGCTGAGATGTGTTACGTACATGCATCATGTACATGTACCAACTCCCCACAAGGTATTCAATCAGTATGTGCTGCAAACATGAATTAATAAAAAAAGCTTATAGAGAGGCAATCAGTGAAAGTGAAAATTATATCAAGGGAGTGAATTAAGTTAGACAGTTGCACCAAACCAAACCTCTAAACATTACATCAGACAAAATAAAACAACCACTATATTATTATTTAAAAATTTTAATTGCCTTATTGATACATAGGCAAGCATTAGCTCATCTATCTTTTCAGATTTTTGAGTTTTGAGTGAGGGGAAATTCTTTTCAAATTTTACATATGGGAGTTTCAAAAAGACTAATCCTATTTAACAAACAAATAGTGATTTCTATGTAGCTGCCATGGAAAGTGTTTTACAATAAGGAGCCCACTTAATACTGTTAATGAGGTAGGTACTATTGAGGAATTGGAGGCACAGAGGGGCGAAACAATTTGCTGATGATTCAGTGTTACCCAGTAGTTCTGAGATTTGATAGCTCTATGGCTGTAAGAATATAAAGATGCCCCATTGGGCAGCCCTCATTTAATGTGATTAAGGTAGTGTTCTCATTTTTAAACAAATGTACTTTATTAGAGTAAAAAAGTAGAAATGGAATCTAGAGGAGATAATTTTTATGGATGCTTTTGGAAATGGATTCTGGCTTAGGGAGGGAAATGTTCTACTCGTTCTGGGGGCATACAAAATATGTCCAGCCTGGGCTGATATTATCAGGCAGATGTGCTTTTGAGATATCTGAATATTTCTGCATGCTGCAAATGTTTATTGGGTACTCCAACTTTTGTATAAAAATACAAGCAAAATCATCCAGACATGCTTATGTTTCACTAAATGAATTCAGCGTGTGACATGTAAGCTCTACCCCACACTCTATATGCTTTCTTCTTTTATAGTCACATCTGGAAAAATTTTGACAGTGAAGTCTGAAGTACATACTGGAGGTGTTTATTGAATTCTCACTGGGTTAAATCAACAGTATCCTTTTCCCTGAATGTTTGATGCAATGTGACAACCTTTCCTTCTTTATATTTTACAAAGCTTCTGTTGGTCAGGGGAAAAACATTTTTACAATCAGTATTATTGAGATATAATTTATATGCAGTGTGCTGTGCTTTATTTTAAGTGAATTACTGTTTCTTTTTCTCTTTAGAGTCATGCTTGGAATGCAGAGTTGGAGGATGTTGCAGGTATTCATCTCCCTTGTGGCTGATTTTGGCTTTATCAGGTCACAGAGGATTGGTAATACATAAGAGTATTTAAATCCATATGATTACCCCGCCAAGAACTTAGCAGTAGTAATAGATTTAAGATAAAATCTTACAGGAGCTTCATGATTAATAAAAAAACAATTGATTCATTGAAGGAGAATTTAATCGGAATCCAGAAGCTTAATTTCAAATGGTAAAAAGCCGATATTAAAAGCCCTGAACTTTTGATGCATTACCAGAGGCATGCTGATGCTTTTGGGAAAAGGCTCGTTCTGCATTCTTAGCTTCTTTGGCAGAAGTGTTCTGAGGAATAACTGTCATCATAAGATGGTAGCTTCACAGAATGCTAGTGACAGTCTGCAGTTTCTTGCAGTTTTTGAATAAGCAGTTAGAGCTTTTCAAGATGAAAGTCTTATAAAGAGAAGATTTAGTAGCCTCAAGCTCTATGGATACTCTATTGAGATATATGTATTCAAATATGAAAGCACAGATTGTTACTTCTTGGGGGAAACATGAAGCTCTCTGAATTTTTTCCGTGGGGTGAGCTGTTCTCCTAGTGAACAAAAGCTAAGACAGTCAGTCTTGTCATATTTCAAACACTTTCTTTATTATTTTTTTAAATTTTATTTTAAAGAGAATAAAACAATAAAACCAATCAAAACAAACCAGTGTAAAAGATACAGGACTTCAAAACATTACAAAATCAGCAATAGTTACCATAATGCCTTTTGATGCCTTCAAAATAGCTGCAGATAACTTCTGATATAGTAAAAATCAAACAGAAAGGATAGAATAGAAACAAGAAAAATGAAACAATGAATGCAATAAAAGATTTCAATACAAACCAATAGTAAATTGCTACTATAATATATCTTGCCATCCTTGGAATAGCTGCTCTTGCCATCAGACTTAATATAATCAAACAAAACAAAAGAGAATAAAGCCTAACCCAGCAAAACAATGAAAATGATATAGGACCTCAAAACAAGACCATGGGTAATCAACAATGGCTGCAACCCTCCGAAGAAGGTCTCCTAGCGTGTGGCATCCTCTGAACCTATGATCAGACCACTGGCCCTAGACCTGCAATATTAGTGAAACAGCAAATCACCACAGGCATCCAATTGTATCACCTCCAGAGCTATCATCACAGCCTGTGTTTTTCTGGATAAGCTGGTCACTGACATGGTGGGGTGAGGGTTGGCATTTTTGGTTTGTCAGCCCATGTGCTAGAAGGGTCTTGAGTCTAGTTGTTCCCAGTCTGGCAGTGGCCTGTGCATGGTACTGGTTCCCAGACTGCGCTGGTTTGCTAGTATGGCCTTCTCAAATACCTTCTGAAAGTACAAAGAACTAGTTTTTAGTGGAGGGGTTAAGGAAGTGGCAGTGTTTGACAATGTAAAAGATCTCTGTATTGTATATGATGAACCCAGTACCTGCTTGAGAAACAGTCTGCAGTGGGTATGTTTGTTATGCTTGGAAAGACCAGAAAAACACTCCTGAGAGAGACATGCAGGGGATAAATCACCCCTGGAACCCCAAGCAGAAACATTGAAATAACACCCAGGATTTGGAGGCAGATTATATACTTACACAAGCACTGACTGGGATCATTCCCAAAATATCAGACCCTGATCTCTGATGATCTAGGGCTATGTGAAGTAAGCAAGCAGGATGTAGAGAGGCAGAATGACTTTTCAATAGGGGATTGGTTCTTAGAATATGAATCATACTGACCAGATATGTATCACAGTGACCAGCTGTTTTAAATAAACAAAAGTAACAGGAACTGTAACCAGAACCTGGGCAGCCAATGAACTGAAGTATACTGGCTGGGGTGTGTGGGGCAGTGGACTGCTGTTATAGAACAGTCACTAAAATCTTCTGAGTGACCTCCCTTTTTGCCTGAAAGGACAAAGGGAAAAATCCTAAAAGACCTGAAGCTCACTTATTGTCTGCGATTCCCATGATCAGGCTCCATTTGGCTTCATGATGAACTTTAGGTAAACTTCCACCAGGTGGGACCCAGGACACCAGAAGTTTCAAATGGATTTAATTTCTTTGGAATAGACTAACTTCTGTACCCAGCCCTCCTCTGTGTAAGCTCTCACTTGGTCTTTACTTTCTGTAACATGGAGTTTTTTGTTTCATTAGTATATATTTACAATCCGTAATAGTGATCATTTTGGGGAATTGTTCCATGCATATAACATCATTTGATCACTTTTAACCCCTTTACCCTCCTCTCCTTTTCTTTGTTCTTCCTGCAGATTCCCTTCTGAGTCTCCAAAAAAGTAGGCCTTCTCATTTCCTACCATCTCTTCCTTAATTAATTTATTAATTGATTTTTGAGGTTTCTCATGTAAGAACAACAAGGTGATATTGAACTGTTTGTGTCTAACTTGCTTCCCTTAGTGTTATGATTTCCCGTCCATTGTCCTGCGCATGTCGGGATTTCATTCTTCTTTATCACTGTCAAAGCTACTTTGCTCATTGCTGAGACACAATACCTGCTGTCCATAACTTCAAGGAGGACAGGTTTATTTTGGCCCCTGTTTTTCAAGGTTCAGACCTTGCATGGTCAGGCAGTAGAGTGGAAAGGCTTGGGGAGAAGGCGGTAACACACCTGACTGACAGTCAGGGAGCAACAAGAGTGCAGAGAGAAGCTAGGGAGAAAGACCTGCCCCAGACTGGTCTTTTCCCAGCAGGCCCCACTCTTAATAGTTAGCTGTTCCACCCTACTCACCCTCCAAAAACGGAGCCTTTGGGAACCATTTTGAATGTAAACCATTGCAATGACTGAATAATGTTCCATTGTGTATATGTAGCATGGATTTTTAATTTAATTTTTATGTTAGTCCAGTATATGAAAGGATGCTAGAGACTTAGGCTCTGTTCAGGTTTTTGAATGGATTTACATGAAATGCTTTGCCTTTTCAGGTCTTATTTTCCTTCTCTGTGAGTTGGATTCTTCATCCTATACTCATGCTGTCCAATATGATAGTTATGAGCTAATATGACTGTTTGAATGAAAACGCAGTAAAATGTGAAATTCAGATTCTCTACCCTACCAGCTACATCTCACACGCTCAACAGCCATGTGCACCTAGAGCTGAAATACTGCATCGTATAGGGTGGTTTCATTTTGATTTTACATTTTTTTATATTTTGATTTTCTCATTTGTTTTTGCTGTCATCCAAGATTTTTGTCCTAGCAAGTATTGTCACTCCCCTCACTGTAGTCAAAGATGCACAGTTCCCTTGTTGCAGAGGATGGGGTGCCATTCAGGGGAGGGAGTCTACTGGGTACCAGCAGCACCCACTACTGGTAGAAAGCTGGGGTCCTTTATTAAGTTCAAGGGATGTGTGGAGCTCCCCGGGAGAGGGATCTGACAGAAGGGTCTACTGTCTGAAAGGAGGGTGGCAGGTTAGCAGGCTAGGTGGCGGGACGAGGAGGCCAAGGAAGATGACAGTGTCCAATTATGTGTATGCTGGTGACTGACAGATAGCTCCAGGATATAAAACATTACACTGTGAGAGGTGGGTTCCCAACTGTAGCTGCCAATTGTGTAAAGATTTATCTTAAAGTGACTCTCAGTCTGCAGGGAGGCCACTGTGGGAGACGTCTTTCTTGTGGACAGCAGCATTGATCCCCCAAGAGGCCCCCAGTGTGCAGAACTTCTTGTACACCTTTATAAACAGCTTCAATGTGAGCAGCAAGACCATCTGAGTGGGTCTGGCCCACTCAGTACAGTGATGCACCCTGTTTGGAGTTGCTGCTTTTTACCTACCCCTGACAGGGTGTATGTTGGGACGTATCTAGAGGCTTTAGTTCAAGCCAAGGGCAGGAAGGTGGGCCTGACCCTGCAGTTTATCCTGGAGCACCACTTCCAGGAAGGACAGGGAGCTGGGCCAGGCAAGGGGTGCCTCAGATCGTGTGGTGATCAGTACTGGCCCAGCTAAGGACCATTTGCATGAACCTGCTGAGTTAATTAGGGGGGCAGGCATCCTGCTTTATGTGGTTGGCATCAGAGACACAGTTAGGGTAGAACTCAGGGAGACTGTGAGTCAGCCTGAGGACAGGGTCACCTCTTTGTTCCCAGCTTCTCTGGTCTGGGCAGTGTCATCCAGAAGCTGATGCCAGAACTCTGTGATACTCTGGCAAAGCCAGCTCAGCTTGTTGACCATGTGTCACCAGGTACATACGTCTTCTCTCTTTCTGACCTGGATATTGTAAAACGTGAAGCTTTATCTCTTTTTCACCCAAGAATGCAGCCAAAATCTTGAGGCATCTGGACAAATTAACTTAGCAGGGAAGAAGAGGAAGGGCTGCTTTGGATTTCCTGAGGAAGGAAGTTTGCTTTCAGGAGAGGGGCAGCAGGTCTGGGCAAGGTGTGCAGCAGATAGCTGTGGTCATCACAGATGCTTTCTCTGCGGACAGTGTGTCCAGGCTGGCTTCTGGCCTCCACAGGACTGAGGTTAACATTTATGTGGTGGGCACACAGTATGCCTCGAAGGGCAGGGACCTGGAGAAGATGGCCGCAAATCCTCCTTGGAAGCACAGAATCCCTCTTGAATCCTTTCTGCAATGTTCCCTCACAGGAAGCAAGCTTACAGACCTGCTGTGCCCAGAGATGACGAGGTCAAGGGCTGCTCCTTTAAAGGGGTTATGCCCTACAGGAAGGTAGAGGGCCATTCTCAAATTTATCTCCTATTTTTAAGTGTGAATCTGCCTGCTCCTCATTCCTGCCATCTGTATCTCCCACCAAAAAAAACAAGTTTTGAATTAATTTATTAAAAATCAGAAACCCAAGCTGAGTGTGTGCGACATGGGTTTAGTCTCAGCACTCTGATAGAACGAAGCAGGAGGATGGCAAATTCAAGCCCAGCCCAGGCAACTTGGTGACTTACAGAGATCCTGTAATATAAGAAAGAAAGAAAGAAAGAAAGAAAGAAAGAAAGAAAGAAAGAAAGAAAGAAAGAAAGAAAGAAAGAAAGAAAGAATCGGGAACACGGTTTAGTGTAGAGGCCCTAGGTTTAATTCTCAGCACTAAAACCAAAACTTACCAACCAACCAAACAACCAGTTCCCTCCAAAACAAGCAAGCAAACAAACAAACCAAATAAAAATCATCCCAAATCCCCATAAAACAGAAATCCCAGACTTGGAAAGTGTTATATCTTGATTCTGTGAAGAACATGAAGTAAGTAGTGATCATTTTTCTCTCTGTTTCCTCCTTTTCCCCTTTATACTCTGATGAACATATGTTATATTTACATAGAGACACTGGGAAACTTACTCTGCACTGATATAAATCTCAGGTCACTTAAAGTAGAAAATTAAAAAAAAACAACAACCATATTTGAAAATTTAAAAATTTAACTTAAAGTATATATGTGAACATTAACTTACCAATTTTTTAGTGTAGGGCCAAAGCAATTTTAAGTTCTAGTTCTTTAAAATAGGAAGAATATCTAAACACTTTCTGAAACAATGCAAGGACAGAAATCTTCACTGAGTTTTAGCACCACAGATATTCAGTTTTTCATAGCCCTATCTAGTACACCAGTAATTTTTTTTAACAACTTGCCTATATTATTTTCTAAGTAATTAATCTGTTTTTCAGACACATTAACCTTCTTGTATCCACACTCATATCCTATTGAGTTGAACAGTATTTGATTAATTGTGTAATTGTAATTGTTCCATAAACAGCCTGGGACCAAACCCACCTCCATCACAGCAAGCTGTTGCACCACTAAGCAAAGCAGACCCGGGGCCGTACATGTTTGGTGGGACAATCACTCCTGATTTGCAGGGAAACAAAGTTTATGTGGTAAGTTACTTAATAGAGAGTGGTTAGTGGAATTCTTTTTTGCCTTTTTTATTTTTTTGTCTTTTTGAGACAGAGTCTCACTGCAGTTCAGGCTGGCCCTGAGCTCACTTTGTAGCCCAGCCTGGTCTCGAACTTGAAACAATCTTTCTGCCTCAGCCTCTCAAGTGCTGGGATTACAGTTGTGTACCATGCCACACCCTGCTAGCTGGGAGTTCTTACTGTATATGCAGTTTAAAAAAAAGAAAGAAAAAAAGAAAAAGAAATAATTAAGTATATGTACTTTGGAGTAAAAATGCCTAAATTTAAAAAAAATGCCTAAATTTTTTTAAGAATGATTTTTTATTGGTACATTTTAGGTATACATAAGATCACATTCATCACAGAGAGTTTGTACCTGTATATGATGTAACCTGATTCTTTTTTTTTTCTATTCCCTGCCCTCCCTTCCACCTATTCTCCCGTCTTTATTTACCAAAGCTGTTTCCAAGTTTTACTTCTTTTCTCTTTTTAAAAACTTTTTCCTTCTTTCCTTTCCCCTCTTTTGTTCCCTTCTCAATTGAACATTTTCTTCCTATTTCATAATAACTATTACACATTTTTTCCTTATTTACACTTTCAATTTCTCACATTAGAGAAACAATATGGTATTTACACATGTAAATATGTAAACAATATGGTATTTCACTTAAGGGTACAGTCTCAGGGTACATCCATTTACCTGGAAATGTCTCAAGCTTATCCCTCTTTATAAAATGCCTTAAATTTAAAACACAAATTTGCAACTTACTAGCTGTTGGTTTCCTTGTCTATTTTTGTCCACCTATTGTATTATTTCTTAGATTCAAATTAGAGTGATAAATTTAAATAATAATAATTGAAATGCAGATAATTAACATAAAAATTCAAGGTTATGATTTTGTCTTCAGGGAAAATCACTGAGTTTTTAAAATAATACAAAATGATCTTGTAGTTTTGTGATTGCTTGTCCTAAGACCTAGAAATCTAAAGTTCATAAATATGTTTCCATCCTTGTCTTTTACCCATAGGGTTAGACTCTGTCTATGTTCTGGGAATGAGAAACAAAATTGTTAAAGATGAAATTTATTCCTGTGTACACTCCCTGTTTCTATTCTGTGGGGAAGGACAGCAAAGGAACCCAGCTGTCTCTCAAATAGAACTGGGGCTCAGAGGTAACACTTTTCCCAGATAGCATTAGTGGCTGAGAAGAAACTTAGAAACAGGAAAACCAGCCCAAAGTCTAGAAGGGTTAATTGTTGGGGAAGCTTACAGATAAATAGATTTGGTGATCTGATCAGAACTTATCCTGGATGATCATAATATCTACCCTTCTTGGTTATTTGATATCTGTATCTATATGACACTGTGTGTGGGAGATGCCTCGCCCCATCTCCCTTTGCCAGCATCGCGGGAATGTACAGCATCAGATGGTATTCAGGGAGCTCAGCTCCTCTCAGCAATGTGAAGGGCCTACATGGGCCACTGCTGCCTGGGGCTGGCCACAGAGATGTCCCTTCCTGCACAGAGTTTGTTTCTCAGACTTCAGGGTCACCAGTGTATGCTAGATAGTTGCAAGACCCTCATTTCTATCCTGTTATTTTTAAATTATCCCTCCAGTCTCTAGGATTCACCAAAAACCTACGTAGGATCAAACTGTTCCTCTCTCTAAGCCATGCTTCTTTCCAGTGTGTCACTCTGAGGGAGCCTTACCAGATAAAATAAAGGACACCCCATTAAATTTGAATTCCATGGAGATAAACAACAAGTTACTTTTTAAAAATAAAAGAGTCCCAAATAGTGCCTGGAGGAGGGTGTTCCCAAGTGAGAGCCTGAATGGGGGAACCTGCTCTCATCACAGATCACTTCCCTTTCATCCCAGAAACGTGAAAAGACTCCAGTGTCTTTCCTGGGTCAAGGGAGTCCAGAGATTAATAACCTTGAAGGAGTGAAGAGAAAAGTACATTCCACTGTTTTTGAGGAATCTTCTAAATGGCAAAAAAATAAAACACTAGGTAATCTGAACCCTACAATTTGCTCTGTTGTGTTTCTACAGTTTTACCTAAGTCTCATAATAGCTTCTTGAGAATGCCTGGAGATTCTTGCTTTACAGGTGAGGAAATTTGTATGACAAAGAGCGGACTTGGTGCTATGTAATGGAGATGGGATCTAAATCTAGAGCCATTTTACCCTTAGGAGTTTAGGGCTTAATACAAAATGATTTGTTTAAGCAGAGCTCATTTCAGACTGAAAGCTTTAAATGAGTTTGGATCAAATTCATTTAAAGTAATTAAATTAAACTTCAGAAAGTGCACTCTTTTGGCCACACACTTAAAAAGTGCAATTTGGATGGGAGGCTGGATGATTGAAACAGACAATTTATAACTTGAAATTATAACTATGAATTATACTTCTAGTTTGTTCTTAGCATCCCAATTTGAGAAATGTTGGGACATATTTAGTTAGTATATTCAGAGAGGATGAGCAGAAATAGCCTTGTAACAAGAATGAAGATGTGAGTGATTTATCTGGGTGGTGACTCTGGGGGGCCCTGGTAGACCACTGGGAACTTGAGAGTGGGAACGGAAGAAAGCCAATGAGCCAGAAGGGGGTGGTGGATAACCTATAGGTTATTGCTCTAAACAACTTGGATTTGCTGAGGCCTCAGAAAAACTGTAGAACTCATCACCCAGTTTTTCTATTCAGAGAATGAGGGTGCAGGGGAATCTGTCCAACCCCTCCAGTCATTGGTTGGTGAAGTATCCAGACTCTTCTAGGCTCTCTGATCTGCCTCACATGGTGGCTAGTCATACTCCTTACCAAGAATACCCAGGGGACACTGAATGCTGAAGGAATATGGTAGAGACAGGCATCAACGGCTTGAGCAACACACCACTTGAGGCTCATTCTTTTTTTAAAATTTTAAAGAGGAAAATACAACAAAACAAGGCAGAACAAAGCCCATCAAGACAAAGAAGTGAAACTTGTATCGAACTTCTGAGCAGGATACTGGGATAACAATAATAGGTACTATAGTATATCTTGTTAACTTCACAATAGTTGTCCATTCAGTCAGATACAGCAAAGTCAAGCCAAAAACAGAACACTATTAAACCAATTGAAAGAGAATATTGAATACAGCAAAACAATTAATTAGAACAAAACAAAACAGTGAAAACAATATTGGCCTTCAAAGACAAGAGAGAAAGAAATCCCCTATATTTGCAATATTGCATTCTGTCATCATCCTCCCAAGAGATGCTCAGACCTCTGGCTCCAGGTCAGCGTAATCAACAAAACAATACAAACATTTAGTTGCTTTATGTGCTTTTGCTGTCAACTCTGGCTGACCTTGAAACAATCCAGTTGTTAATGGGACATGGGGAGAAATGGACGGGGCATTGGATTCTTTGCCGAAGCACCGGTAGGCTTATGGAAGACGCTCACTGGTTCTCTCCATGGTGCTCCCACAGCTCACGCTGCTTTCCAGGAAGGATGGCTCATTGCTTTCTTGGTTGGTTCCCCAAAATCCAGCATGGCTGGTTCTTGGGAGATGCTGAGTTGTTTTTTACCCTGGCGTGCTCATGGCTCTTGAGACCTATTCTAACAAATTGTCCCTTCTTATTGGCCAGCATGTGTGCACACTGGAAAGGCAGACATTTGAGTCTGGCAGCATCTACCCAGAAGATTTTCTTGAAATGAAGAAATTCATGAATAGGATGATAAAGATGTTCCAGATTGGGCCTGACAGGGTGCTGTTTGGAGTCATTCGATACTCAGACCGAATTGAAAGCAAACTAATCCTGGGTCAGGACACCAGCGGAGCAGAGCTGAAGGCAGCCATTGATGACATGCAGCAGGGAGGAGGTGACGCCACAACTGATGAGGCTTGAGTAACATGACTCGGGTCTTTGAAGACACTGCTTGAATCCATGTGGCCAGATACCTTACAGTCACCACTGATGGTAAATCTTCAGATCTGGTGGCCGAGGTTGCAGAGGCATTGAGGGAGGGGTGGTGGAGTCATCATTTATGCTATTGGAGTAAGAGATGCTACTATTACTGAGCTTCAGAAAATAGCTAAAGGCAAGATTTTTTTTGTATATGAGTTTAGTTCCTTGAAGGTCATCCAACAAGAAATATTACTGGATAT